TTATAGTAGGACCCGGCTGTTAACGGTCGGAAGTCTGGGCAGCTGCTGCGGGACAGATGGGAAGACAGGTGAGGCGTTTTACAATCACCGGTTCTCAAGTAAAGGGGCCAACAAGCCCTTTTCTTCACCCTTCTATCTGAGGAATCGTCTTAATAAAAATAATATGCAATAAACTAACTCTCCCATAATCAAACCATCAACTTTGGCAGAGTTTTAACCATCTTAGAAGAAACCGTGATCGATGATAAACAATTTATATGTGAAGGGCTTCAAGTATGCCTTATGTGGCGCACATGTGGCCGTTTTTTAATAATCCTTGGGAAATGATCACGAAACGTTTTGAGACACAGCGTATTTTTGACTTTTAATATTTCAAGAGGCATTTGATCCATTTATTTATTTATTTATTTTTTTTAGTCGTCTACGGGGTACTTGTATACTTGTGTGTGACTGAACCTCCATCTGTGAAAATATTTATGACAGGTAAGAGGTTCAATAAGAAGAATAGATAGTTGCCATGTGAAGATCTCGGTTAAGTGAATTTTATATACATAAAAACAGACAGAAACAATTAGGAATTGAATATTGGAATATTTGGCCAATCTGTAAACTTGGCACTCAGATGTATGTCAAAAGTGTGGATTTTGATGGTAATTTTGATCGTAGGTTCAGTAGGTAGTAAATCATTTTAAATAGTTTAAGGATCTGTTTTTTCATCGCCTGTGCGAATTCCACGTGACGTATCCTGTCAAATGTTTGTCTAAATAGTTAACTTGGTCAAATTGAGGTTAGTTGGTTGTATAGGTATATGCTAGGATAGGCCTCATGGCGGAGTTACATGTTGTGCAGGGTTCATTTTCCTTTTAAACTTTATTTTCCAACGATTGCTTCATTTTTCAATAGGTCATTACGAATTTCTATATGTCAGCTATCTATAAATATCTATAATCTAAATCTATAAATGCATTCTTTGTGACCGAGCTACTCAGCAAAAGTAGACTTAAAACATTTTTTAAAAAGAAGCAAATTAATATTAGTTTTTTGCACCACCAAAACCCCCTAGATACGAATTTTTGGGAAAATCAAAAGATTTTTTTCCAACAAATTTTTCGTCTTCCAGACTGATCTATGATTTTTCCCAAAATCACAAAAATGGTGATATTTTAGAAACGACTCCACCGATCTACCGGATATTTTACAGAGGTGACAAAAACCTAGCCTCCGTAAATTATTTAAAACCTGAGATATAAAATAAAACGTTTGACGTGATTGTTTTGATTTCATACTAATTGTTCTCATTTACATTGACATCATATCTAAACGTTGTTGACGTAGGATGAAAGTAGAACAATCCAGCTTTCCTGAGCCATAACGTTAATTTGAATAAAATCCACATGAGTTATAAATTTTTACGTGGAACAAAGGTCGCCGGACAGAAGATAAAAAATACCCGGACTAGGGGTAAATCCAGCCCAAAAATGTTTATATTTTGTTTCCCATAAAAAGTTAGATTTAAGGACTTAAAAGGTACTTAACACAAATCTGAATTGGGTTTTTCGAAAACAATCTTTTTGAGCTTTCTTTGTTTTTAACTTTTCACATCTTACCGCACATATTATCATCCTACATATTATTTTCTTATCCTAGATTTTTTGTTTTCAATCGAATGATATATAATAATCTTGAAATACACACACAACACAAACGGAAAAAGTTAAACAAAAAACTATTTAAATTTCCAATGGCAACAATGCCATATTAGCCGCGTGTCTTTTTATTTTTCGACCTAGTATCGCCAAGTTTCATTGTAGTAAGTAATCACTCACTAATCAGCAAATATATGATCTGACTGCGTTTTTCGTATATATTTTATTGTAACATATGAGCCAAAATAAAGAAATATATAAAGTTAATCTTTATTTGATGACGTCCAGCAATTTTATAATATTGCGCCCAAATTGCATGCATTTTGTTGTACTGCTTTATCCTCATCCATATTTTTTTAAATTTACTATTTACGATTTTTCAATCTTAATAGTATATCCATTATATTTCGTGGTCCGATTGACCAAATAACTTCTTTCAATTAATTAATCGTTTTATGTAAGGTATTGGTTGAAATGAAAAAGCTAGTGTCACGAGCGGAATTCGAATCCCCAAAGCCGAAAGTCGTGGGTTCGAATCCCGCTCGTGACAAAAGCTTTTTCATTTCAACCAATACCCTACATAAAAAGCTTAATAATATAGTTATTTTCCAAACCTTTTGTTGTATTAGCTGTTTTATCATCAGAAAACCCGTCATTAAAACCCGTTTTTATCTTCACTATTGGAATCATTTGGGAATTAAACATTTAAGACGTTTTGAAAAAGATTTTTTTGTTCTACTGCTAAACTTCAAAATATTTTGTAATTTTTGAAATCTAACATAGTTTCTGAAGAAAGCTAGGTCAACCCAGAGATTTCTTTGTGCCAAATCAAAATAAATTAATTAATAAGTCGAACTGCGTTTGGTTTTGTTTTTGGTCAGGGACAGGAGCTTTGAGAAATTGCAAATATTTAAAACGGGAGACTTGCTAAGCATAAAGCAATGAAGTCTATTTTATTCTGTGACATTCATTTTCCGTCGTATATTTAAGTCGGGTTTTGACAAAAGAGCACCTTCCTTGAACCGACCAATGAACCATGGACGACATGCCTGATTTTACAGACCTATATAAACCTAAATATACCATAAACTTTACAGAATGTCGACCTCCACCACAAGGATGATTCATTGTAGACAACACAGTGTACAAATCAGTAAACTTTTTAGTTACTGTTTATCTTATAGCAGGCACTGGATTAATTTGACTAAACAAATAAACGTAAAGATTAAGGTTTTCTTTAGTACATTTCCTGGTTAATACGTCAAATCGAGAATATTGACGCAATAATCTTTGTAAAAAACCATTTGGCGGCAACAGTAACGACAAGGGGTCGTCCGTCCTCATGTTCCTCCCTTTCGCCCTTTCAGAAGGGTGCAACAGATGTAACTACCGGCAACATAGCTGCCGTTAAAATATCAATTCACCTGAATTTTATAGAGGGGTGATTTCGTGTTCCCCCCAACCAACAAGACTAGAACCGGAACAATAAATGAATGATAAATGAATTGGTAAACCAAATTATTAAATTAAATTATTTGTTGTTGTTTGTGTACTTGTGTACCTTGAGTATGCAATTTGTGTGTGTGTGTGTGTGTGTGTGTGTGTGTGTGTGTGTGTGTGTGTGTGTGTGTGTGTGTGTGTGTGTTTTCAACATGAATATACAAAACATAAAAAATTTAGAGAGAAAGATGAACCTTTCGCCTATTTGAGTTATCACGACCAAACATGACACTGTTTTCATTTAGTAGAGATCGATTAATGAAAAAACTTCTTATCAGCTTTGTAGAGATTATGTAGTAGATTTAGATTTTTTTAAGGGTATTATTGCAAGGTAGTAAAGGTTTTCGGTGGTTTGTACCTGAGTGAATTGACTTTTCTGATCATCCTTGTCAGCCTATCCTTCCTATTTTGCTATGTTGAAAGTTTGATATGTTAATGAAGAGGTTGGAAAGTCGAAAGGCGAAATAAGCGACGAAGATCCTATATATAAAATTTACCAGTTCATCCCCTCGTAGAAGACAATATACCATTACTGTACACTTGTTGATTACAATTTTTTGAAATTTTCTAATCTTTCAAATTCTACAATCAGATTGTAAACGAGAATCCACCACCCATGGAAGATGGCGATCTGCTTAACGACTCTTATAAACCGAACCAGCGAATTAGATTGACCAGGATGGTCGAAGATTCCAAACTGCTAATTAATCGCTTTAATCCTCGACAGAATATCTCACAACCTGTTGATTACATTTTTGTTACGTTTTTCCAAATTTCTTATCTTTCCAATGCTACAATTAGAAAGTAAGTAGTAGTAAGTAAACGCGAGCCCATCACCCACGAAGATGGCGATATGCCAAATTACTGTTAAACCAAACCAGAGACACTAGGCTAACCAGTTCTCACAGACGTCCAAGCTACTTGCCATAGAACTAATCACAATATCTGAAAACTTGTAAATAATTTCAATTTCAATATGAATTCTGCATAGACTCTGGCAAACCTAACCATCCACACGAGGATAATCGGGATTATCACAGACGTCCAAGCTACTGATCATAGAAATAATTAAAATTTACATTTTTTTAACTTTATAATCTATCAGACTTTACAATCAGTTTCTAAATTCTGCACAGATTCTGGTAAACCAACTCAGCGAGACTGGACGGTCCAGGATGTTCGTAGACGTCTAAGCTACTGGTCATAGAACTAATCATTCCTTTTTTTTATTTTATAATATTTCAAACATTACAATTTCAATATGAATTCTGCATAGAATCTGGCAAACCTAACCATCCAGACAAGGATAATCGGGATTATCAAGGACGTCCAAGCTACTGGTCATAAAACTAATTAAAATATCTCGATTTTTAATTATTACATTTTTTTAACTTTACTCAAACTTTACTTTTCTGCACAAAGACTCTGGTAAACCAACTCAGCGTGACTGGACTGACCAGGATGTTCGAAGACGTCTAAGCCACTGGTCATAGAACTAATCACAATATCTCAAAACTTGTCGATTTTTCAATTTGATTTTAAATTGTGCATAAAGGCTGATAATCCAATGATAATAGACGTCGAAGCTACTTGTCATAGAACTAATCACAATTCTCTCAGAACTTTACAATTACGTGTTTTTACTTTCCAAACAATCAAACTTTATAATTTGTGTTTAAATTGAGCACAAAGACTCTGGAAAATCAAACCGAGACTAGGCTGATTAGAAAAAACCTAATTAGTTCATCACCCCGCAGACCTCAACAAGAAACCGCATGTATATATACCAAATTGTTGAAACAAATATTTTTTACACCAATAGCTATCTAAAGCTTAAAAGAAATTATATCTTACCTTAGGAGGTTCTTCTGAGTCTGATTTCCTCTTGCGGCCCGGTTTCCCGGGAGATGAATCAAAACCGGACTTCTTGTAGTAGGACTTTGGAGTTTTCGGTTCGTCGTACAGCCCTTTGTAATACTTGCCGTCCAAAATCACCAAATTGCGTTCAACAGCGCGTTTCAGAGAGTTCTTAACGACTTGGTTCAAATCGACGCCCGGCTTGATGTTGAGGCAGTTTGACTGCTGGACGTACTTTTCGATGGACTTCAGAGAGGAGCCGTCGCCGTCGTCCAGATCCTTGACGGCTTTGACGACAACCTTTATGAGATCCGCGTCCTTGTCGACGACGATAAACCTGTTGTGGGCACCGCCTGGGTCTTTGAAAGACTCCTTTCCCTTGTTGATCACCTTAAGGACGAGTCCTTTTTCGACCAGATCGTCCAAATGGTTGGTGATCGTTGATTCTGTGGCCGGCTCGTGTTGTTTGATCGCGTTGACGATCCTTTCCACAGACGGCCTCTGCTTCTGCTGTCGAATCTTGTTGATGGCGTCCAAAACCCATTTCAACCATTGCTCCGTACTCTCGTCTTCTTTCATTTTAAAGTTTTCAACAGTTTTTTTTTCTCTTAACACTACCACTGTTTTTGTTTTGTTTTTTTAATTAATATTCTATTAGCACTAGTTTATTGTTCTTCCTAAGGAGCGGCATTGCTCCAATATGCATAATGTCCTCACGGCGAAATCACATTCTGAATAATACTCAATACTCATTTTTACGAATAAATCTAACACTGTGGCCCGCGCAGTCTCTCCGCTGGAACATGGAACCTACAACAAACAAAATTAGTTAATGACGAAAATTAGTTAAGGTCCACTACAAAATTCGTTAAGATCCACTACTTTACATACACTAAGAATTTATTATTGACTCAGTACATCATCAACGAGAAAAATGCATCATTGATTTTTTTTACACAAATTAACCTGTTTTTAAAATCTTAGGCGAAAGACAAAAATAACAGTTTCAGCAATACATAATTCAATATTGCCTAGGACCTCAGGAAAAACTCACACCTTCTAAAACATTATAAAAAACTTGGCCACAATTCTGGTCCGGATGTTGTCGCTGTTTATTCTCAAACTCAAAAGGTCTAGATAACAGCGAGTTGAGAAAAAACAGCGAGAATATCCGGACCTGCAATACCAGGGAACTGATTACAAAAGGAAAATTGCCTAAACTAAGTGAGTTGTTGGGAAAGATTTTCTGAATTGGTAAGAAACGATGCCAATGGCAGTCAAGTTTTTTGCACTATAAATTGGAATATTTTTAAATTTAATCATTACCGAGTTAAGATCCAATTACTAATCAAAAAATACAAGATGGTAAATACAAATTTTTAATGGGTAAAATGACTAATATAAGTCAGTAATAAAATACCAAATTCACACGATCATCGTAAAAAATATCTACAATTATAAACAAACTATCACCTAATCAAATCTAATAATTGAAAATACCAAAATGAAAAGGGTAAACCGAAAAAATAAGATAATTTGCAACGAGCGGGTATAAATAAATACAAAAACAAACAAAAAACAAAAGCAAACGGTGCTCGTCCATTTCAGGAAAATTAAAAATAGATAAGTAATTCTTAATAGGAACTCAAGGAGATAAAAAGCAATGAAATAAGGTTAATGTTAAACCGACAATTTCATATTTAATTGTGCCGCAGAGAGAACGATTAAAAAATGATTGTGTGTTATGAAGTCTTATTGGGCTTTGAAAATTTCGTTTATTATTGTACTGTTGGGTGTTGAAAATCATTCTGAAAGCTTTATAGAAATTGATTGATACTTAGGCTAGTGTTTGTAATTGTACGGCGGAGGTGAAGGATAATGAATGAAAGTGAGTCATTGTGACGGTTAGGAGTGTAGAAAAGTGATTGTGTGAGTGAATGAGGAAAGTAAAGAGTGGATGAAAATGAGTGAGGAAGGTGAATTATGAATGAAAGTGATAAATGAGATGAAAGTGATTGTGCTCTCAACTCTGACCACCTCAACCTAATCGGCTTACTCCTTCCTCAATCACTCACACACTTTCATTCACTCTCCTGTACCTCCTCACTGACTCACACACTCTCTTTCATTCATTCTCTTGTACCTCCCTTAATCTTCCATTTACATTCACTCTATTTTATCTCCCTCACTAATTTTAATTTTCTCTCCTTTATCTCCATTTCTACATCAATTTCATTCGCTCTTCTCTCCACCTCCCTCCCTCACTCACACACTCCTTTCATTCACTCTCATTTACCATCCTCACTCACTTTCATTCACACTCCTTTACCTTCCTCATTCACTCACACAATCACTTTTCTACACTCCTAACCCTCACAATGACTCACTTTCATTCATTATCCTTCACCTCCGTCCTACAAGTATCAATCAGTTACAATAAAGCTTTCAAAAACAACTAAAAACGTTAATAAACCCCTTATCAAAATTATTACAAAATCAAACTACTAACGACTACTACTCATTTATTATTATTATCTAAAAAATATACTTTTATAGTATAATTATTTTAAAATAGGTATTTCTGGTATCCTGAAAGGCTATGGAACTTCTCGCAAAGTACTCCAGTGTTAAGAGTACGACTTGTTGAAAAAAAAGGCCATGTTTGTTACTTAAGACCAATTCCGACTGTCAAGTACAGAATGTTAGGATCCGTTAGGAATTACTACGCAAGAGTAAATAACACAAAAACAAAATGGAGGTCTCGTCAGTTTTGAGGGAAAAACTAGTTGACGACAAATTGACTACTTTTTTGACCGGGTAAACATGTCTGTAGCCATGTACAAAATTACTCTAAATTGTCGTTTGTGTCCTGAAAAAGAATATGCGCGAAGGACTCCTGGTTTTTCTGGGAAAAGGATTTGATACGTCAAAAATGGTCAAAAATCCATAGTTTTTGCCCCTGGTATGAAAATACCCATTAGGAATTACGACAAACAAATTGGGATCAACAAAGACTAATCAAGGCGGATCAGCCCATTATGACGAATATTTTCCTTTTTTGACAGCTTACTTTTAATTCAATTTATTTTCTTTGCAGTAGTCTAATTTTAATACATGCAAACAAGACCTTGTAAAAATGGTAATCAGACTCCGGAAAAGAACCTCATGAACAAAAGACCCATTAGTGCAATGAAAACGTTGTGAATAACTAATTTATTAAAGTTTTTGAAAAATGTCAAAACCAACTATAAATATAAACGTGTTTATTTAATTTGTGGATAGTCAAATATTGAAACTGCCGTTTTATTACAAGCTTAATCGATTTTTTCTAGTTCTGATCCTGACAAAGAATTCGTGCAAATTGAGAGTTAAAATATTACTTGAAAAATCTATATAAAATTATGATTACTGGACAAAACCATTAAAATAGAATTTAATATCAACATAGTCAAACATATTAATGCAAATAAAACCTGAAGAAGAAAGCCTGGATACCGTTTACTATTAATTTATTCGTCTTCTTCAGTTTTAATAGAAAATGGCATGATTCAAACCTATAAAATGCACACTGATCAATATAACTTGAATTTCACAAGATTATAGAAATAGTTTTGTTTTAAATACTCAAAATCCATTTTGAAACCTTTTCAGCACTAGAAAACCTGACAAATGGAATCTGAATTATAAATTAGGGCATAATATTTTACGTAACGAAAAACCACACTACATTTTACGAACATTTCACTTATTTTTCGTCCTTTGAAACAAAATGTAATTTTTATATTTTTTCCATCCTCCGTGATGTGTAATCAGAATTTTTTCGCCAGCACGTCACTGTCATAAAAGCTTGACTTGGAATGAAATAAACACTGTTTATTTAATTTAAAAAATATATATATACATGAACATTTTATTAAAATTGTACCTGTATAGAGGATTAATTAGCGGCAAAAAGGAAAATTAAAAACAAACAATTTAATAAACAATCGATTAAGGAAAATAATTAAATTCCCGACAGTGAAAAATATCAGTTGTTTTCAACCATAAAGGATTTTTTTAAAGTAATAATGCAAAATAAAATAAATATATATGAATAAATATTGTGGATCTGTTGTTTTTATTAGATGATAAAGTGTGAATAGATTTCAAACTAATTGTTTCATAATAAATAATGAATGTGTTGTATCAATAGGTTTGTTTTACAAAGACAAAGATGTAAGATTTTAAACTAAAATAACATATCGCCTGTAGTTACAAATATATAAACCCGCAATTTATCTATTAATAAACAAACAGTAACAATTAAAAAAGTTTTAATACCAATTAGAAAAAAATTTTTAGCAATTAAGGCTTAATTTTAGGACATAGTCATCACATCAATATTAAGTGGCAAATGTTGGACTTTAAACAGTGGTCAAGAAACACCAAAAACGTACAAAATCTAATTTAATTTGGTAATTTTTGTAAATATTTATGCACCCATTTTTTAATACAAATTATAATAATTGTTTGCATGATGTGTTTGATTTTGTTTGTCAGGACACAACATTCAAGGTCAGTTTTCTAGTTTTATCGACAGATTTTTTTTTTTTTTTTTAATTTGAACAATCTGCACACCAAATACATACAAATGAAATTCTGACATTGCAAATGAAGAGTTTTAACACAAAAAAAATATCTATGGTAATGATGACCAAATTATTTGGTTGGAAGTGTCAATCCTTACCCAATACCATCTAACCAATGCCTATAATTTGCAGTTTTCCGTGTTCGAATATGTCATGGCATCGTAATAAATCAAAATGTTTAGAAAATAGATAGACAAAAAAAATTTCAACCACTACTAATTGCCAACAATAGTACCAATTGATTTAAAAAGTTTATCATCAAAGAGATTAATGCAATGCATACCATTTAAATATGCACTTAATATTCATATTTGAGCAAAATAATTTCTAAGTTGAGTTTTCATTGCTGTCAATAATAATTAATTTAATAGACATTGCTCTAGTGAGGTTGAAAATTATGTTTGTTTGTTTTTTCTTTGGGGGGGGGGATTATTCTTTTTTCTAAACTACATGATTTTGAATACCAAATTGCACTATTTATTAAATCATCATAATTTTAACGTATACAACGAATTGTAAATTTGACTTCTTCGAACTGCAAAAAATATATGTTTGATCGATAAAAACTGGTTTGAAAATTGTCGTCCTTGAAATGCCATTTATATAACTGAGGTGCTCCGCGTCCGGATGAAAACACCGCATACATTTTACTGAAAATTTTTTTATTTGTATGTCTATGACAATAGGCAAACATTACTCACCTACAGTTCATTGTTTCTTGTTTATCCTAGAAATTAACCCGGATAGATCTTTGTTATCACGACAATGTTGACACGTTTTTGTGATTTTTCTAACGGTTTCTGTTATTATTTTGGTCGAAGAGGGTCTGTTTTTATTTGATCGATAATTTGTTATTGAATAAAACAATGTAAATAAACAGTCATATTTTCAATTTACCGTGTAACAAGAACAGGAGATTCGATCAACTTTGACCTCCTTACATTAAAAAAATAAATAAATAATATTTGTTATTATATAATGCATAATAAACGGAAAAGAGATATTCAGATTAGCTTCCCAGGCTTTCACTGCATTAATGTTTTTAAAGGGTACTTGACGTTCAAAAGAGTATAAAAATTGTTTCGGAAGAATATATGAAAAATGAAACATGTACGAAAAACAACATAATTTTAGGTAAGAAAACCGCAATATTTCTTTTTGTTCAAAAGAGTACAGAAATAA